TTTAGTATCATTCAATAATTCACCTTTGTAACTAGCATTACTATCCATGATAAAGCACTAGTCTGAAGAGTATCCATGTGGTTTAAATAATTGCCATTATTAGTGCCTAAAAATTGTTAGTGAAGGCTGAAAATAACTTACTATGCCAGCTATGATACATTTAAAAATGAAAGGTAACACAAGTATTGGTTATAGAATCTATGAACTATAGTGAAAATATATTTGAAATTTGCCTATTTTGGCTCCCAAATAAAATAATTACCAAAGATACTATGGTCAATGCGTCATTGTAAACTAGCACAAAGAGTGCTAATGCATAAAGCACAAAGCCAACAGCATCTGCATCTTCAGAGGACAAACTTGATCATCATGGCATACTGACTTCTTAGAGGTAGACCAGAAGCTCAGGCCTTCACATATTACAAAGATGAAATTAAAAATGTCATGTGAACATAATTTTTTAAACATTTTATTTAGATGCTTGTAATAATCATATTAGGAGAAACATTCCCCATTGTATTTAGAATGTAATCCAGAAAACACATGTTTTAGACTCTGGTTATAAAAGATCTCATAAATTTTCATTTTTCCTTTTTTTTAACATAAACAAAGTGAATTTTATTTTATTTTTCCCAATGTTGGTTAAAAATAGCCATTCTAATTTTTCTACTTTTTGAAAATCATCCGCATTAGTATTAGTTTTTCGTGATCAAGATCTTGAAGACGTCTTCTTTTATCTGTTCCATCAAATTCATAAGTAAAGTTTTATCAACTTTTATGACAAAGTTGATTCTTCCCTTTTATTTATTTTCTCAATAAAGCAAGTGTCCTTGTCTCCCAAATTATACAAACACTATCCAATTTTTATTCTTTTTAAAATATATAAGCGATATCTTATTATCTATTATATGTAGTTATAAAGATATAACTACATATCTTTAAGTCTTCATTTCATTTATTTATTAAAATCCATGTTATTATTTTCTCAATTATGTGGGTGGGGTGTCTGTGGATGGCTATATGCACATGGATGCCATTGTCTGTGGACAGGGAGGAGTAAGAATCCCTGTAATATTGTTGAAAAACCATTTGGTTGTTAATCATGTGGGTGTTGAACTTGGATCCTCTTCAAGAGCAATATAGATTCTTAAAGACTAAGCTATCTCTCCAGCCACTATTCTTCCATTTAGAAAAATGCAATCAAAATGTATTACCCACATGCATGAAATTGTCAAAGTACAGTTTTATTCGACAAAAATGGAAGATGAATTACAGTTTCACATAGTCAATGATTTATGCTGTTAAAAATCGATTTCTTATCTCCAGCTTTGACCATTTCTCAATTAGCCACAAAGTTTCTATATTAGTTGCTAAATCCAATTTATTATTTTCTAATTCAACTCAAACTGACTTTTAAAAGTATCAGTTCAGTTTTACTTTTTCTATTAAATCTACTTTCCAATCCAGTTAATTCAGATGTAATCTATTAATGAAAAAGTTTTACTATACATTTATATATGTGTTTGACTGCCTATTCTATATAACATGTATTATATCAAGAAAATGGGTTGAATTGGCCCTTAAAACCCCCTCAGTTACATATTGGTAATCAAGCCATTGTAATTCATGGGAACTGCCACTAGATGGAAGTCACAGACCACACTGATTTCACGCCTAATTTATTTGAGGAATGATGCCCCACAACAGTTTTATAGCTGTCCAACCCACACAATGATCTCTTCGTTTATTCATGTATTAAACTCTTTGTAAATCACATGAACACATGTACATGTCTAAGCACCTACAATACTATCAGCAGCCACATCTACACATTACATATGTATGTTTCGATATTACTATACTGTTGGAAATTATAATTTGGCAACATTTTAATTGTCTTATCAAATTACTTGAAAACTAAAAAGATATTTAATATTTAAGATGCATTATTTTTCCTTGTTTTACTTAATTACTTGATTGCTTATCCAATACAAATAAAAATTCAAAGGCATTTAAACTCAGGCCTCTAACTTTCTCTCTTAAAGTATTATTTGCCTTAATTTCAAATTACAGTGTTAAAGTAATCTGATTCTAATATCTGTAAACTCAGAAAAGTACATTTCTAGTCATGTTATAATGATACCTTTAGAAAATACAAGCTTACGAATTATGGCATCTTTAAGTAAATCATTGACATGTTACAGGTTGTTGCTAATTCTTCCTTCTTTACATTGTAGTTTCAACTGCATTTCTACCCAAGACAATTTACAGACTCTTTATTTTGGAAGGAAAGTTAAAATCTAATCAAAAAGTCTGTGTGACATTTTGTTTTAAATATCAACTTGCTAAAACTTACAATCACTGGATGGAGACTCCCAGTTGAGGAATTGCCTAGACTGTGTTAGCCTGTGGCTATGTCTTTGTTGTTGATCATGATCACAACACATACCCTGAATTTGGCAGCACTTCATGGGCTGGTCTCTGCGTGTTGTAAGAAAGCAGGTTGAGCATCTGAGCAGGCAGGATACGTGCATCCTTCTTTCCATCCTTGACTGTACTGAATTTGATGTGACTGTCTATAGGATTCCTGCTTCAGTGTCAATGAAAGGATGGACTGAAACCAGAAATTGATAACCAAATAAACCTTTTCTTCCCTGTGTTGCTTTGGGATCAGATTATATTATCACAGTAGTAGAAAGTTTTCCTCATCCATTTCATCAAGCAAGGGTGTATTAGCACCTAAGGAAAACAAACACCGCTCTGTTTCTTTAGGGAAGGCTGATGGTCAAAAGCAAGATTGTGATTGGTTTCTTCTCATTCTGCCTTTGGACAATAGACAGTGCACTCATAGCAATGAATTCTGTGGTTTGATTTTACTTTAATTGTCCTGTCTTATACACTTCCTTATCCAGAATTAGTTGATAAATTCCATAATAAATTTTTATATTCTAACTTCTGTGACTGCTGAGGAAGGGTACTGTAAAGAACGTAGAACAGCTCTGTATGTAACAGAGTCCACTTACACCTTGTTTAATGGCAGTGGCGTTATTACTTACTCCAAGAAATTTTTCTCCAGAAGTATTAGAATAAAGATAGACTTTAGGAAATAACTTTGCCTCCAAAGGTTTCAATACTACATAGAAGATTTTATTTTTATTTATTTTTATTACTTTTTTCATGTTTGTTGTAGGCAATAATGTAACACAGGGCAGGCACAGGCTGCTTCTCTTAGATTAAGGATGCTGTGGACCAACCCCAGCAATGCATGCTTGTTGGGATAAGGGAAAGTTATTTATCCAATCACATGTATATATTAGGTCTCTAACAACATGTTAAGCCTTTTATAGAAACCACCTTATTTGACTCAGAAATGCTTAGAATTATTACAAATAGCTGATTATTGATCACAAAAATGTTTGAAAAGTCTACTTTATTTTGTAACCATTCTGATGTTATAATTGAAATCCTTCTCTAATTAAAAAGAGAATAATTAAGCACAATTGCTAACTGATTGTGTGAGACCGACTAAACAAAATCAAATAGATGCGGCCACACATTTACTTCTGTGTTTATGTGTCTATTCAGACACAGTACCTGAAGTAAAATGAAGCAAACTCAAATTGTATTGCTTTGTACATACAGACAAACTCCGTGCCACTCTGCACCAGTGAACAACTTCAAAAGGCATTAGATAATAAGGCACATAAAGGATTATGTAGCAATTCCAAACTATTTTCTGGTACGGTACCTAGTGTTTGTTTGTTCCATTCTGCAACTGGCGTTTCATATTGCTGACATTTACATTCATGGGAATAATTATTCTTAAACTTCCAAAAAGCACTATTCATGATTTAGAAATATATATAAAATGGTTCAAGCTAATCGAATTTCCTTAATGCAAGTAAAATCAATGTGCAGCCAAGAGCAGCAGTCCTAAAAAACCCAACTTTAAATTGAGCATAGTTAAATGAAATGCTTTCAAAAATATGAAAAAATTTAAACTTTAGGGGACACTTTCTTATGTGCATTGCAACACATATTAGAGAAACATCAATAAAATTGAATATAATTCAAGCAGACATTTAATTAAACCGCTACTGCATCTCAACTATGTGTTTTTGTCAGTTTCGTCTAAATCACTGATGATTTGGGGGACATAAACCGTTGGTATAAGTAGCTAGTGATTATGATTCCACTTAGTTTTTACTCCCTACCAAAACTGCAAAGCTGTTTATCTTTTTTTTATTTTTGGTTCTTTAATTTTTAAGTTATGCTTTAGTTGATCAATTTTGAGACAGGATCTCTCTCTCTCTCTCTCTCTCTCTCTCTCTCTCTCTCTCTCTCTCTCTCTCTCTCTCTCTCTCTGTGTGTGTGTGTGTGTGTGTGTGTGTGTGTAGCCTGTCTTGGAAACTACTTTGTAAAAAAAAAAAAAAAAAAACAGCTGGCCTGAAATTCACAGACGAGTCTGCCTCTGCCTTGCCAGTGCTTGGATTAAAGGTGTTCACATAAAATGCTATAGCTGTAATTTTAAGGGTCTTTGGGATGCTTAAAATCCACTATCTTCAGACTTTCTCACAAAGTATTTTATGTAGTGTTACTAATATTTCAAAGAGAAGTAACAATCTTTCTGAATATGCTAACAACTTCTAAAATCCCACTTTTTGAAAGATTTGCAATACTCCTACTGATTTGAGAAACAAAGATAAATATAAAGTCATTTCCTAAGACAATAACAACTTTCTTCTCATGTCCTGGTGTTTGCACTGTTTGTCCTCTTGTGATAAAGCGCCCTTACGTAAGTAACATAAGGAACACTGAGTTTCATCTGCTCAGTGTTTCACGGTCTAGTCACTCATGATCATGTGACTTAGGCACTGCGTGCGCATCCAGGAAGTGAAAGAACGCATGATTTTTGCTAGTTCTTTTTCCTTTTTATTTATTTAGAGTTCCCAGTCCACGCTGTCTTCTGTGGGTGAATTTTCCTACCCAAATTACCCTACTCTAACTCCTCATAGACATGCCAATTGCTTGTTTCCTAGGTGATTCTGGTTTCAACCAAGTTGGTAATCCATATTAACTACTGTGGCATTTAGATTTCTCTATGCATGAAACTTTGAACAGATGTTTCATTCAATACTATGCTGTGCATGTCACTGGATAGTTACAACTTTGTTATTGTTTCAAGAGACTCACAATTTCCCACAAGAGATGGGTCTTTACAATTAAATATCATGTAGTCAACACAGTAAAAGAATAGTCTAAAATAGAAACAAAAATGTATGCAAAATAAGTTTGGGAATAATTATCAAGAGACTCTATTAAAACTAACATTTTGTTGGTAACATGCAAGATCCACACTCATTTTTCCATCATACATGATGTTAATCTCTCTAAAAGTTAACTAAGTAAAAACAATTTTTATTTTATTCATAAAACAATAAAACTAGAAGTAAACATAAACACAATAAAAAATAAAGAGATTTGTTTATTTACTCAAAAATGTCATTCTAATGTTTATTTTATTGTAATCTTCTAGTAACTGAAGATTAAACAGTTATTATTCTACTTACCATTAGAGAGTGCAAAAAGTGGTGAGGGATTAAATACATTTTAACAAACTATTGATTGCTGCAAACATTGATTAGTGAACTAAAAGATAAAACATGAGGAAGAAACAGAGTGAGCCCCAGTGATGGACTTCAGAAATAAATTTTTCTTTTCAGAAAAGTTCTCTGATCCTCTAGCTTAATCTTTTTACCCCCTAATCATCAATACACCCTGAACCTTAGGTGTAGAAGTTTTTGTTTTGTTTTGTATTTTTTTGTTAATGTTTTCATTGGGACTGGATTATAAAACTCCACATTTTGATAGCTTGTGGCTGTTTTATTTTTTCATTTTTGGTTGTTATTTGTTTGTTTGTTTGTTTAATGTTCTCTGGTGCAAAGAAAATTTTCTTTGGTAAGGAGTGAATACGAGTTGGTTACAGAATACAAAAAAAAAAAAATGTTAAAACTATTACCAAAAAACAAATGAGGCTGGTGAGTGCAATGGATTGGTACCATGTATGATAGTTTGAACATATAACAGTACAAAGAGCCATGTGCTAGAAGCATGGATACAACCTTGTAGCTGTTGGGAGGTGGCAGAGACCTTAACAACAGGATCTAGAGGAAGGTCTATGGTAACGAGAAGCATGCCCTTGAAGGTGATGGTGATGGTCAGATTTTAGTTCTCTATTCTTCTTTCCTCTTAGACTTTGCTTCACACACATTGACAACCATAATGTACATGCTGCTGCTTTGCCAAAAATTCATAGGCAATAGGACTGGCTGGCTCTGAACTGAACAGTGCAATATTATAAGCCAAAATGAATGCTTTAGTTTTAGAATATTGTCCTACAGGAATAGAAAACTGTTTATCACAACTATGTTCTGGAATTGGTACTGGGGAAGGCAGGAAGGCAGGCTACAAATTTTAAAGCATCTTAAAAACACATGAATGTATGTTCTCTTCATTTGCCTGTAGTAATCTTAATGTAATAAATAATAGTGTTTCTTTTTACTAGCAAAATTACTTAAATGGCACCATTTTTTAACTCTGAAAGATAAATTATGTACACAGAACATTTGGTCTTTGTTGTGAAGCAAATGGAGCCCATAGTAGAGCCTCTAGTAGAGCCTCCACCTTAGAATTGGTAAGATGGGCTTACTGGTTTAGAAAATTTCCTAATGGGAAATGGATCTAAGACTGATAAGGGCCAAAAGAGCGGCCTTTGGTCACTAGAAACATGCCCTTGTTGGTGATAATAAGACTCTAGCTCTTTTTTCTTCTTTTCTCTTTAACTTCTGGCGATGAGGGATATAAAACTAACATACTACTGTAAACACACAGACTAATAATATTTCCAGAGTGAATTAACATATCTATGCAAAAACACTCAGAAAGGATAGCAATTGAAGTTTTAAGTTACACATAAGTATAGGAGAGGAAAATATAAGCAAATTCTTCAGCAAATGATACTTCTGAATTCAATAGTAGAGATGAATAAGGTAAACACTCAGAATTTAAAAATATGGTCTTTGCACTATTGCTTAGAAACAGGGAATAAAATCCAATGGAAGCCTGACCTTCAAGGAGCTCTTGAAGCCAATACACACAACATAAAAAGCAGCTATGAAGGAAGAGACAATCATAATATCTATCTCTTGGTTTGTGCCAGATAATTAACTAACAACAATTGAGCCTGGATGTAAGACAGGGATATTCAAATATTGTAAAAGAGTAGATCACACCCTTGTGTTTAAAAATAATCCCAGGCATAAATTTATATACTTCTTAAAATGTTGCCTATTTACTATTAACAACATATTCTAAACGTCACTGAAGTATGTTTTGGTTGGTTTTGGCTCCCGCCACCCAATTTATAAAACAAAGTACACACTGCTTCTAAAATTCACTAAATATGTAGACCTTTAATGCATGTGTTTCCTTTCTATGAAATTGCCACACAATTGCCAGGGTAATTATTTTTAAAATTCTTGAGTGGATTTATTCTACTTTCAGTACAATTCCTGAGGCTTTGTAGTTACATGAATTCTTGTGTTTCACATTGTACACTTGTACAAGGTGCCTTACAGCCATTCTCAAAATCAACCTATGGCTGGATACTTAGGCTTCCTGAAATGAATGTGAATGTGTTTAAAGGTCCTTACAGGCAGATTCTCAAGGATACTTTTTCCATGTCATCTGTCTACTGACTTGATCAAGCAGGAGATTTTTACCATGTTCTAGGTTGGGTAGTCACATATTTTTTCATTAGCCATATATATATATATATATATATATATATATATATATATATATATATAACAGTGGGACGTGGTCATTGGACCTCTGGGTGTTGAGAAAAGACAAGTTTATTCAAGGAATTCTAACATTCTGTTACATAAAATTCGAGCAAATGAGGAAAGAAGATTGAGCTTTATCAAAAGAATCAGGCATTAAGCTGGATGGTAGCTGGTGATTCTTGGAGATAAGGACTAAGTATCTATAATGAATTTTGTTGAGCTAATCTTCCTTACATTGTATTGTGTGTCTCTATATTTTCAATTGTTAATTATGAACTGACAAAGAGGTATGTGCTAGAAGAATTTTTGTATTATTATCCTACCAGGAGCAGCAAGGTAAAGAGCTAGCCACATTATAGGGACAGGCTAGGAAGTCAGGTTAAGTTCGATGAGTTACCAGAGAGATTGTACCAGTAAAAGACTTATAGTTTTAATCTATATTAGAAGACTTCCTGTTATTATTGGACCTCTGCTGGGTCCAAGAAAGTCTTGTAATAGAATTTACCTACATTAGTGATAGAAACCACATCTGACCTTGCCAATTATTTTGGGGATAGGAATATCAGTTAATTGGATTTAAGATCAAGTCAAAGACAATAAAGCACATAATAAGTATGAAACTATCTTTGGAATGTCTTCCTAAGCAGAAGAAAGAAATGCTATTTTACACGTTGAGATAGTATTTTAGTTGGATGGTTGTCACAGATAAAGATAACACTTTTGTTTTGAATAAGCAATGAGGCATTACTGAATGACACTGCAGAATCACTTGTATATATGTTGGCAATCAGGTGGCAATGTTATGAGAACCACTGTCTATTATGAGTGAAGGTGGGGATGGATATGTCAGAGACAAAGTTGTCACAGGTTTGTAGAGACTGAAGTGTGAGTGTGTTGTGTGTGTGTGTTTGAGTGTGCAAGCAGTGTTCATGTGCTTAGGAGCAGGAGGCACACCTGATGCCGTTCCTCAGGGTCAGCTACTTAAATTTTTTGAGACAGGGTTTCTCACTTGTTTGGAATTTACAGAATAAGTTTAACTGGTCAGTATCTAGACCTTGAGTTTTACAAGTATATGCCATAATATCCAACTATTGTATTATTTGGGTTTCATAGATCCAACTTAGGTCCTTTGGCTCACAAGGCAAGCCAGACACCATGATAGCTAAGCAATCTCCCCAAGTTGAAAACAATGTTTAACTTTAAAGAAAGCATGAGTGACCAAGGCACAGGAGGAATATCTCATACTGTGTGGTCAAAAAGAATGACCAATAAGAGTAACTTTGTTGTATGTGGTCGGACTTCTAGAAGCCGGCTCAGAGAAAAAGGACAACTAACACATAGAACATTTAAAATATGTTTACTTGAGTTCACTCTAGAAAAATGAGGCAAAATAGATATGCTGACAAGTACATGAATATTCTGTGGCATTATGAGGAATGGTCTAGGGACTTTATATAGCTGTGCTTAACTAGAAATTATCTTTGTAATCCACAAAAAAAGGCTGAGGTGTAACTTTGGAAATTTCACATAGTGGACCCTGAACACTTTCACTTTCCAGTGTTTCCAGGTCTTCCTCCAACCTTTGTGTCCTTCTTTAAAAGAAAAAAAAATAAAGATTTTTTACAAATCCAACTTGTTTTGCTGTCATTGGGAGCATGGTCAAACTATAATTTTGACCCTCAAAGAAAACAAAGTTTTTCACGATCCCCACCACTGCCAGCAGCTGTCTATTATAGAGAGCTATCCTTCAGTATCCTAGTAAAGAGCAAGCATTCGGTCAAGAAAAGCTTAGGTGCAGGCATGCTGTTACTGGCTTTTATTCCCAGCACCCAGGAGACAGGTACATCTCTTAAGTTAGGTTCAGTCAGTTCAGTTGAGCGTGGTGAGTTCCATGAATCAGATGGGGGTCAGTGCTGTTGATCGCAGTCCCATTGAGTTCATTCCTGAGTTCATTCAGTTCATTCAGGACAGGCAGTTGAAGCCAGAGAGCAAGTAGATTAGAACAAATGGCCAGAGTACGTTTGAGACCAAGCATTGAAATTCAGTTAGGACATGAGAGAAGCTAGATTGAATCAGTTTGGAGAAGAGTTGGAGCCAGAACAGCTGAGTTGAACCAGTCACCCAGAATTCAGAAAGAACTAGAAAGGAGGAGTTTATTCAGCAGTAAGCCTCCAAGACAA